ACCTCGTGAAGACAGTGTGTGTGTGTGTGTGTGTGTGTGTGTGTGTGTGTGTGTGTTAAATTTAAAAAGAGAAGTTTAATTTGTTTCCACATGAGTTAAATTAACTTGGAAATATATAAGAATATCCATCTTTGTACATAAAATTATAGCAGGGGCAGATATAAAAAACCAACAAAGAGATTATAAGAAGCTCTGACAAACAACTTTAAATATGCTCTTTGAATATTCTAACAAGCCATATACTCCCTAAGTGGTTTGATTCTGATCACTCAGAACTGAACAGCTCAAACACAAGTGACAAAAGACCTAGTGTCACTCACGCAAACAGATCTGAAATGACAAGCCCACAGAATATAAATGGTCCTATGCCTCATAACCAATTCTGCTGTGTGCTTCTCTCGGACCAATGATTTCCTCCATCTTAGGCTCTGCATTTATAGACTAGATCATAAGAAGAATGTGTGTGTCAGAGTCCAACCAGAAAGAATTTGTGTTAGGCTTCCAAGTTTCTAATTGTATAAATATTCATATTTCCAAACTGCATGTAATAATTAAAGTAGTGTGTTCTACTTGAAGAAAAACCGACATTTCATGCTGGACATTACCCATGGTGGTAGGGACGAGAGTGTATTTCTGTGCTTTCTTACACATGCTTTTCATTTAGCATCTAAAAGTGACACAGCCGTGTGACAGGCAACCAATAAAAGCAAGTTGATGGAAAAAGATATTGGAAGCCTGCTATCCTTCGAAATAAGTTTTCACCAAAAATAAATTGAATTGAACCAGGCCAAGGCATCTTCCTTGGAGCCACATGGAAAAGATTTTGCCAAGTTTGTGATCACCACAGACCCCTGAGGCAAAAGTGCAAGAAACACAATCTGTTGCAAGGTGACTCCAATAAACTTTTCCAGGTGAAATCTCTGACAAGAATCTTGAGTAGGTAGCTAGTTCCGGTCATAGCCATTCCTCTTCTACATTTTCTCTAACCCTCACTCTCCCCACACTCTGTCTACTTCTATGGCTTCAATCAGCTAAATGAGAAGCACCAAGGCGCATAGTACTTCTAAATAGAACAGAGCCAAAAGTGTATAATCAGGGCAAAATAGCAAAATGGGCTGTTTATCCACAACATTCTCTCTTTTTTGGGCTTCTATAAACTCCAGGTGAGGTGCTGTGCACAGATCCTCCCATCTCTGATGACATGGATACGAAGAGCAGAGACAGCGCTAAATACTAGGTCTCTCAGATACCAAGCCATATGTCTTTTCCATCTCTGCAAATTCCCTTCCTTTGGGCCCAAGATGGCTCTCAAGAGAGCTCTCCAGCTAAACTGAGGCAACAGAGCCTTCTTCCCACTATGGCAGAAGCCAGGCCTTGGGCTGTTAGGAAGCTCAGGCTGTCATGTCAGTTGTATTCTGTGAAAATACCCCACAATGATTTTATGACTGGGGATGCCCGCCACTAAGATAACAGGGGGTGACTGACTTTCCAAATCATGCTAAAGATACATCTGTGGCTGCAATTGTATGCATGAAGGGGAAGAAGAAAGCCAATGTCTGGTGTTGAGATGTAGAAGATGTGGGGTGCATAAACAACCATGGGAGACTTAGCATCAATCACCCAACATAGGTGGGCAACTGTAGCGATTTGAATAGGAATGGCCCCCATAGGCTCACAAATTTAAATGTGTGGTCATTAGGGAGTGACACGATATGAGAGGGATTAGGAGGTGTGGCCTTGTTGGAGTGGGTGTGGCCTTTTGGGAGGAAGTATGTCACTGGGGGTGGGCTTTGAGGTTTCAAATACTCAAGCCAGGCCCAGTGTCTCTCTCTTCCTGCTGCCTGCCCATCCAGATGTATAACTCTCAGCTACATCTTCAACATCATGTCTACCTGCATGCTGCCATGCTTCCCACCATGAGGATAAATGGACTACACCTCTGAATTGTAAACCAGCCCCAATTAAATGTTTTCCTTTGTAAGAGTTGCAGTGGTCATAGCATCTCTTCACAGCAATAGAACAATAACTAAGACAACAGCTTACGTTTCCAAAAGCATGTGATTTCAACTTCACCCATTCCTGATGTGACAGAATATCAGCTGATGACCAGCAAGGTAGCTCAGCCAGTAAAAGCACTTGTTGCTGAGGCTGATGTTCAATTGCAGGACCTACATAATGGAACAAGAAAACCAACTCCTAAAAGCTGTCTTCCAACTTCCTTTTACACACCCACCATGGCATTCAGATACACACACACACACACACACACACACACACACACACACACGAAAGAATATCAGTTGAAAATGAAATCTGCCAGATACAACCAGGTGTATCTTGAAGATCAGGCCAATCATCACTATTCACAAACCACACTTGTGTGGCCCTGTTCATGGCTCCCCCTTCAGAGGACCACTGTTTTCCATGCACACTAGAAATGCCTTCTAATGGGGCTGTAGAGATGTTGCAATAGTTAAGAGTATTCCCAGCATCCACATGGCAGCTAACAACTATCTGTAACCTCAATCTCTCTCTCTCTCTCTCTCTTTCTCTCTCTCTCTCTCTCTCTCTCTCTCTCTCTCTCTCTCTCTCTCTCTCACACACACACACACACATGTATGCACATGCAGGAAAACACTAATGCAAATAGAAGAAAAATATTTTTTTAAAAAGAAATGTCATATGACAATTAACCTAGCTTAGTGGGACAAAACTGATTCTTGTACTTCTAAAAGTTCTTTGTGAACTAAGGGAAAATATATCACACTTATTTAGAATTTTATTAGCACTGCAATGTATTTTAAGGCAAATTACAGTGGAGATAACTAACAGCCACCTAACTGGACCCAAGACCTACCTGATAAGGGAGAGTGCTATTGCAAACCTAGCCAACTCCCTGTATCTGATGAGATCAGGAACCCTAGAAGAAAACCTATTACTGCCATATTCCCAAAGCAGTATGATTTCCACTACATTCCATGTACCTGTCCTTATACCCACAGGTAAGTGTATCTCTCGCCCCTCATCAAGAAAGCCTCATTTTGCAGCAGATGGAGATTAGTACAGAAATCCACAGATGGTCAAATGCAGAGAACAATTGACTGGGTGGGGGTGTGCCCATCCTACTTGATAAATCTACACACAACCCTTCCACCTATGGCTCAAGGGAGCATTGGTGGCATGGCAGGGTGTGTGCCAGAGGACCAGGACATCTGCTATGAGATAGTGTCATCTGTCCATGACGGGGAATTGCACCATAAAAATCTCAGCAGTATGGTTACCTAAGTAAGACCTGCACAATGATAATACAGGATGGCATGCCAATGTGGATTGAGGAAACCTCACAAAGCCTACCCCTATGAAATATAGCCAGTTAATGGCTACTAAGAGAGGGAGAACCAGCCTTCTCCAGGACAAGCCCCTGATAGGTTATCCAGTCCCACATGATCAGCCTTGAACACATGCACATGTGAGTAGCACTAAACGAACTCAGAAGGTTATACTTCCACATATATACACATGTGACAATAAATAAGAACAGGTCATGAGTTGTGAGGGAGTTGTGAGGCAAGCTTTCGAGAAGTTAGAGTAATTACGGTATTCATGTATGAAATTGTAATAATAATAATAATAAAAGGTTTAAAAATTATGAAAGAAAATCATCAAAAGGCCAGCCTTTGGTCTAACTTACAAGACCATTTAAGAAAATGGTTGTATATTAGTTCTACCCTGATCGACAACTCTTGCAAACACAGATGCTATCAGACAGACATGTACTGAGTGACATTTGGAGCCTCTGTTCTGTTGTCTCGATAATCGGTGACAACAACGGTTATGAATTTGGCCACGAATGAATTCCAGCTTCACATAGCACTAGCTTAGTGATAGATAACACCCTAGTGAACTAGTCTCCAAAGCAAGAGATGGCACATATTCACAGTGTAGTACAGCTCTGCCATTATTTTTCTTGGGCATCACTATTACAAATATAAATCCTTTCAAACACACACATTAAAGAATCAGTCTGTCTTTCGTATTGTTTAAAACAAGTCTGATTTGGGAGCTAGAGAGGTAGCTCAGTGGTTAAGAGTGATTTCTGCTCCATCAAAGGCTCATTGAATGGCTTCTAACTGTCTGTAATTCCAGGTCCAGGGATCCAACTCCCTCCTCTGGCTTCCATGGGTTCTTATGTGCATGTGGTTGCACATATACATTAAATAAATCTTTCAAAGAAAACAAATAAGTAGTGTCCTCATCCCTCATCAAGGAAACTTTTTTTTGAAAAATATGAAGACCACGACAGAAAACCACAGGCTATCAAAATGCAGTTTCAGAGCCCAATCCCAATGGGTATGTCTACAAAACAACTCCCACACCTAAGATTCAGGGAACACTGCAGAAGAGGGGGAAGAAGATTGTACAGACCGGAGGATCAGGGAGTCTGGTGTGAGAGTGTGCCTCACACAAATGTCACAGTCTAACCAGTATGACGCCGTAAACATGAGCTGAAAAGGACAATAACAATAGCCCTGTTAAAGTGGATGGGAAAAAGAAAGACCACGAGCCCTCAATCTTACATAAAGAACTACAGGCAACTAAGGAATGATGAGATTGGGAGATATGGCCTTCCCCAAGGAAGAACACACCAACTGGTTATCCAATACTAAATGGCCAGCCCTGAAAACATATACAAGTAAAATTATGCAAACTGAGCAGGTTATGTTTAGAAATATGTATGTACACAATATATATATATACACATATATATACATATATATATGTGTGTATATATATATATATATATATATATATATAGGTAACAACAGTTAATGAAAAAAGAAGCCATGAATTTAGAAGAGAACAAGGAAGGGCATATGGGGGCTTTTGGAGTAGGAAAAAAGGAAGGGGGAAATGATGTAATTATAACCTCAAAAATAGACTTGAGTGCTCCCTGCCTGTACTTGCTCCCGTGCTTTCTAGATCCAGGTCACCTCCCCAGAATGTCTGAAGCTGAATTTGACAAAGCTGCTGAGAATGTGAAGCACCTCAAGACCCAGCCAAGTGATGAAGAGATGCTCTTTATCTACAGCCACTTCAAACAAGCCACCATGGGTGATGTAAATGCAGATCGGCCGGGGCTTTTGGACCTCAAAGGCAAGGCCAAGGGGGATTCCTGGAATAAACTTACAGGAACTTCCAAGGAAAGTGCCATGAAAACCTATGTGGAGAAAGTAGAAGAGCTGAAGAAGAAATACCAAATATAAAAGACCAGATTTGGTGGCCAACCACACATGTGACATAATGCCTTTTTTTTTTTTTCTAATGTAGATGATATGGCTCTGATAAATTAGGGCCAGAATTAATCTCTGAACCTCCTCCCTGTGTAGTTTTTACTTGAAAAATCAATTAAAAGTACATTTGTTACTTAAAAAAAAACTCTCAAAAATAAAAGAAAAATATTTTTATTAAATAAATAATTTTTATTGATATCTTTAACCCTCTGAGAAAATTTCAAGAAAAGATTTAAAAGTTCTCAAATGAATGAAAACTTTTGGAACTTCTGCCACTTATGATCTGGACAGCCAGATTCCCATGTTCTCCTTGCTTTCTTTTTCTTTAATGAAAACAAAACACATTGATTTATTCACTTGTATGTGAGTGGGGGAGTGGCAAGGCTTGAGTGTAGGGGTCAGAAGACAGGTGAGTCTGCTCTCTCCTTCCAATACATGGGTCCTGAGGATTGAATTCAGGGCATCAGACTTGGCAGCAGGGCCCGACACCCACTGTGCCACCGTGACAGGTTGTCTCAGTTCAACTGATTTCCTGTTTACAGTAAAACCTCCTTATGGATAGCTAAAGGTTCCAACAAGCTGGTCCTTATCGCTCTGCTTAATAATTACGAGCCCAATATTATCAACCAGAGCACACAGCACACCTCTGCTGCCTGCCTCCTCAGCCTCTGGTACTCTCCGTGCCCCTGTTTCCAGGCCTCTTGGGTCTTTCTGGTCTCTGCTATTCATAGCGGGACACAACTGGAAGCATTTTGGTGCGTGGTAATTGATGTTTGTCCAAACATTGTGAAGTAATAAGCCACAGGAGACACGGAAGCTTGAACAAGGCTAAGTCAAGGGAACAAACAGCGTTCTGAGTGCATTATTCCAAGCCCACACCCAGGCAAAGCTGACTTACAGCTTTTCTTCCTCACAATGATACTATAAATAAAGCACAGACATTTCTGTTCTTCTATAATCCCTTCCATTGTGTGGTTTCATGTACAGTCTCACGCGATTGGTGTGGTCTATACTGCAAGCCCCCAGTGAGGCAGGAGCTGGCTGCAGGGCCACCTTTTGGCCTCACATAAACCAAGAGACCTAGAGGACCTCACATGTCCACAATCAGTGAATATCTGAAGTATAGAAACCATAAATCTAGAGAAAAGAAAAAGTCTGGAAAGTTGAAGTTAAAAAATAAAAAGAAAGAGCTTCTTATAAGACAGATTCGTGTGCCTCTCAAGGAATGCAAGCAACCAGTATTAGCTATCCAAAGACAAAGGGTGGGAAAACAACCATCAGGAGGGAAAACGGTGCAATTGGTGTTTTCAACTAGAGTGACAGGTATGTTTGAACCAAGACAGGACATGACTGGGCTGCCTCCCATCAGAATTCCTCACCTATATAAACAACCCTAAGACATAGACAGCATTGCATATTCACTTAGTTTCTTGGAATTTACATAAATATACATCTGTTGTAAGAAAGACAGATTAAGTATCACCTCCAGGCCATGCTCCATTCAACTGCCTTTCCTCATTATGGTTCAGACCTTTCTAAGTCAGCCTGAGTACACAGCTGTAAAGGTGTGTGGGAGTGAGCTGTGTGCGCCAGGCTACCTGGCAGGCAGCCACCTCGCCATTCATCTGCTCATAACACAAGCTAATGATCATGCTTGACTTCAAACAGATAATGAGAAGTCAACACACTCATAACACGGTAGGAGATGGTGATGTGGGAAGTGTTTAATCTGTCCTTCTGCCACTGCTTTGGACTTTTCACGGGTTTAGAAACTGCTCACATCATAAGGAGGCAGAGGGCTTGCCTGGAGTGCACAGTCATGGCTTTAGTCCCCATCGCCACATAAAACCAATTGTAGAGATGTTGCCTACCTGTGATGCCAGGTTTTGAGCAGTAAAGGCAGGAGGATCCGGAGTTCAGAGTCATCCTTGTCTGCACAGGAGTTAGAAGCTGCCTGGGTTGCATCAGACTTTGTAATAAATAAATAAACACTTAAAATAGAAGAACTTATTTTGTGCCAAAGAGGACTATATTGGCAGCAATACATCCATCACTGTCTTTAGACCCTAAAATTGAAGATAATTGCCTGCTTAATGCTAGATAGATGCAGTAAGAGACAGTGTGTGTGTGTGTGTGTGTGTGTGTGTGTGTGTGTGTGTGTGTTCATATGTGTACTACCCTTGGGTGATCCCACAAGGCTGACATGGGAAACTTTTGCAATGTAAAAATGGATTAAAACCATCACTGTCTATGTTATTCTATAGATTCTGTAGTCTTTGCCTTTCATAAAGGGAGATTTTGATGTGTCAATGACTATCAGAGGATCTGTCTATCCTTGGGTCAGCTGTTTATCCAACAACTGAGACCCTCCTTTGCCAATTTTGTTTACTTAACAAGAGGTGACAAAATAAGAAATTTTGAGGAAAAACTGACAAAGTTTTACTCAAGAATTTGAGAGTTAAAAAATTTTAGCCAGGATTTTTTTTTTTTAATTTTTATTGATTCTTTTCAGATTTCACATCATGCATTCTGATCCCTCCCAGCTCCCTGACCCTCCCATCCAGCCTCTGCCCTTGCAACTTCCTCCCAAAACAAAATAAAATTTAAAAGCAAAACAAAAAACCAAACAAACAAAACAACAAAAATAAAAACAAGCAACCAAAACAAAAAAATCTCCTAATGGAAGCTGTAGTGTAGCCTATTGAGTCCCACTTTTCAGCCTTTAATCCTTTCGTCCTCACTTGCAAGTGTTCATTGTCATGAATTAGTTCATTGCCTCTGGCCCTTGCTACACCATCAATAATGGGCTCTCACTGGGTCTCCTCTTTGATAGTCTGTTGTTATACTGTGTGGTGGGATCCTGTAGTTTTGGATCTTCAGGTCCTGCCCCTTCATGTGCTCTAGCAGTTCTTAGGTAGTGTGGATGCTGAGGTGGGCCAACTCATAGCCCTGGTTCTAGACCTGGATTGTCAGCCTGCCAGCTTTCCCCAATTGTCACTATTCCTGGCAAGCTCTCCAGCACTGCCTCAGCCAGGCCACCCAATGCAGCCTACAGCAAGAAGTGGGGCCAGTTCTCCTGTTTTCAGGTCCTCAGATCTGGGTCACCCACACTCAAACCACCAGGGCCAGCTCTGCTGTCTTGCCCAGGTGAAATACAATGCCCCCCCCCATTGTTGTAATGGGCACATACATGGGGGCAGGGCAATGTCAGCTATTCCTGCTCTTATGCCCTCAGGGCAGTCTCACCTGCTTCTGGGACAACAGTTAGCTCTAGGGTGCTGCCCTTGCAGCGGTCAGGGTCCACTTTCCAGTGTGCTGCAGCTGGTGAAGGGAAGGGCTAGTTCTCCCACTCTCATGATCCCAGGTCCAGCTTTTTCGCCTGCTGCAGGTAGCAAGGAGTAGGGTGGTGTAGGGGCTATCTTTTCCTCACCCACAATACCTCATGGCAGGAGGCTGGGGGGCGGGAGGGAACCAGGTCAGCTCTGCTGTTCCCATGCCCTCAATGCTGACTCACCTGTGTCCTGACAGCAGGATCATCTCTAGTGTGCTATCCAGGTAAGGTGCATGCTCATGGTGAAGGTGGGACCATCTTTCCTGACTGGGGGCTGGGCAGCTCTCTTGCTGCAGTATCCAACAAGGAGAAAGGCCAGCTATCCCAGGGTCAGTGAGGAGTGGGGCCAACTCAGCATGGCCCTTGGATTTCAACACACTTGGTTTCCATGACACCCCCCCCACCATCCATGGTAACATGGACATGGACATCAACACATATCCCAGCCTCAGCAGGACCACGGACCCAGACATGGCCCTCAGCAACAACTGGGGTCCAGACATCACCATGGCCCTGGTGGCAGCATGGCAGCATAGGCCATCCAGATCAGTAGGACACTGGTAGAAGCATGGCCCTCAGACACCAACATGGTCTAAGGTGGTTGACCAGACCCTGGGCATCCGCCCAGTCCTTGGCAGTAGTGGGGGCCACAGATCTCAACTTAGACCCTGGCTGCTGTAGAGCCACAGGCCCAGGCATGACCCTCAGCAGCAGCCCTGGCCTGGATGGCACCATGGCCCTGGGTGACAGGGCAGGCCATTCAGATCAGCATGGCCCCAGGGGCTGCATAGCTCTTGGACACCCACATGGCCACAGGTTGTAGCCTAGACTCCAGGCATCCCTGTGGCCTCTGGCAGCAACATGAGCCACGGACATCAACACAGATGCTGGCTGTAGCAGGACTGCAGACCCAGGCATGGCCTTAGGCCACAGCTAGGGCTCAGATGTCACCACAGGAGATCACCCAGTTCAGCATGTCCCCCACAACAGCATGGCCTTCAGACACCAACATGGCCCGAGTTGGCTGCCAGAGCCCTGGCATAGGCATGGCCTTCAATGGCATCAGGAGCCATGGACATCAACTCAGACTCTGACTACTGTAGGGCCATGGACCCAGTTATGGTCCTCAGCAGCAGCTCTGGCCTGGAAGACAACATGGTCCCAGGTAACAGTGCCAGCATGGCCCTGGCTACTGCACAGCCCTCAGACATTAACATTGCTACAGGTTGCATCCCAGACCCTTGGCATCCATGTGGCCCCTGGTTGCACCATGGGCCACTAGACATCAACAAAGAACCTGTTGTGGTAGGACCATGAACCCAGACATAGTCCTCAGCAGCAGACTGGACCCAGATGTCACCCTGGCCTCAGACGGCAGTGCAGGCCACTCAGATTAGCATGGTGCCACAATCATCATGGCCCTCGAACACCAACCTTGCTCCAGGTGGCTACCCAGACCACAGGCCTCTGCATGGCCCTCGGTGGCGACAGGAGCCACAGACATCACCTCTTGCATCCTAAGCTGCTTCAAGGCTTTGAACCAAGATTGGCCCTTGGCAATAGCCCAGACTGGGAAATGACCCTGGACTCAGGTGGCTGGCAAGCCACTCACATTAAGGTTAAGGTTCCTCACCACCCTCAC